GCGTTCTGTAGAAACTGTGCAGTTCACAACTGCGAAAGTACATATGTCATCAGATCATACTTTCATATAAAGGTAGACATGTTTACAAATAAGAATACCATTAAATCTATCCAAGCATTGCTTTGTAGCAGCTGACCTTCCTCGCCCCACCCAAACCGGTAGTGGGAAGCAGCAGCTATATGCTCCTCCAACCATTGTACATCAAAGCTTCACCCTAACACCTGGCCTGAAGGAGTAAAGCAGGATGAAGGGATGAAAGGTGAACAGCGTGAGCTACTTGAGTCGAGAGATCGCAAAGACGAGAGCGAGAGAGGAGAGAGAGCCGGGTTATTGCTGCAGGTATCGGAGTGGGAGAGCGCAGATCTCACAGTAGATCGATGATGTTTACTCTTCAGGCGCAACCAAACTCTGCTTTCTGCTGCTCTCTCTCCATTTTCAGACAGGGTTTTTCTGCTTTAGAAGTTCTTGTTTTGTCTCAGTCTTGAACTGCTCTTGCTCTTCCTTTTGTCTTTCTGTCTTTGCTCTTTTTTGCTCTTTATATAAACTTCATCATCATCCACGCCGTGTCCATCCTCTTTTCTCTCCTCTGTGTGCCATCAATAGTTTTTCCTATCACAAGATAGAAGAGATATATTTGGAGAGTTTACATTTAAACAAACGTACAGGGCAGAATTAATGTGTCCAGTGTGTACATTTAGGAGGATCTTTGTCAGAAATGTAAGTATAATTTCATGAGCAGGTCCGCCATCTTGAACCACCATGTTTCGGACAAACCAACCACTGGCTCTAGATATGGCCTTGCACCTATTCTACTAGTTTTGCGGCCACTGTAGTTGCCCGTACACACTTGGAAGGCAAGCGGTATTCAGTTCACCACTGGATGCCACTAAATCACACTCATTCTCACACATTCAACAAGCCGTCCAATCTAGACGTCTAAATACGTCATTGCCTTCCAAAACTGACTCATATTTCCAATCTGACAGCCCTAATGCTGAGAGGAAAAGGCTGTTAATATTCCATTATGTTACTGTCAACAAATCTGTTTTGGGCTCCATAGTTTCTCACTACCCTACCCTGTCTATGACTCCCAGGCCCATTGTTTCCTACTGACGACGTGAATCTTTAAAAACAGCTGAAGTGTGTGTGGTAAATTTTTGTAAAGCTCAGTAATTTAGCTGTCACTGTGAACATTACTGAAAAAGGAGGAAAAAGCACATTTGTTGGGGACTATTTTCAGCGGCGGATGAATCCACATTTGCTGCCCTAGTAAGTAAGTATTTCTGGCAGCAGGAAGGTGTATGTAGGGTTGAGTATAAATAAACTACAGTGAGTGTGTTCATGGTGATATAGGAACCTGTCACCCAGTGCAACAGTGTGGCTCACTGATGTTTTTGGATAACAATGGAGCTCTATGGCACAGAGGAAGAAGATATATCAGGCTTTGGATACACACACAATACTTGTTAGTGGCTACTTTCTTTGTTGGGTTGAGGCTACAGTGCATGTGGGATTTGCTGACAATAAAAATAGTGGAATACAGAATATCACCAGACCTACGCTTTAAGGTTAGGTAATGGTTAAAGTAACCAACATTAGTAAAGAACAAAAAAAACAATTCATGCTCTCTGCTCATCCAATCATCCACCTCAACCTCATCCCTAAGAGGTTGTGTTGGGCTATAACATTGTCACATTACTGCTCCTGTTTGTGACAGACAACAGTGATGGTCAGGAAAAGCTAAACTTGCTGTTTTAAGCACAAATGCTGTTGTTTTTCTGGTGAGGACAGTCTGCCTGCATGTTTGGTCATTCTGAGGGATTTGGAAGGATTTGGAACCAGAATCCTAGATTTTGAGAATAAAGTCATAACTGTGAGGGTGGGAAAACCATAACAAAACATATATATGTATATACTGTATATATGTATAATATTTCCCTCATACTATTGATTCATAAAATTGCAACCTTATTCTCAAAGTCTCAGTATTTCCTTTACCAAAAATGGTCCCAATACTCATGCAAAAAAAACAACAAAATAAATAATGAATGGGAAGACCTCATTCCAAATATATGAGGAACAATATGAACATGTTTTCCAGCCATTACTGGGTATATTTGAATTATGTTTAGCTGTGTAAATACAGGGATACTGAGAAGTGGATGTATATCCATAACAAAAGGCATTGTCATTACTTTAAAGATTAGGGTGTACGCATACCTAAAAAATATACTGTAGTATAAACAGTGGGCTGTATAACAGTCTTTAAATGGAGTTTACTTTTTATGAAAAATCTGAAATCAAATATTTGAAAGTGCAAGAAAAAAGTTAAGAGGTACTAAGAGGTATTAGGAGTGAAGTCTTTGTACGTTACAATGCTGTTGAAATATGATATGTGGAAACTTACTGAAAAATTTAACTGTCATTCAATTGATGATAACCGGGTACTTTTGTGTGTGTGTCCGTCTGCAGCTCCAGTCGGACCAGGACTATGGCAATGGCTTAGTCAAGTACGTTCTGTCCGGCGAAGGGGCCGGCACCATATTTGTCATCGATGAGAACAACGGTGACCTGCACGCCACTCGCCGCCTGGATCGCGAGGAGAAGGCTTTTTATATCCTCAAAGCCACGGTGGTCAACAAACGGACCGGTCAGAAGCTGGAGCCAGAGACCGATTTCACCGTCAAACTCCACGACATCAACGACAATGAACCTCATTTCAGCAAAGAGGTTTACACTGGCAGCGTACCCGAGAGGTCTGATATCGGTAAGGACAGCTCTCACTGGATTATTCTAACTCTCATTAAATCTTGCAATTTTTGTCAGTGACAGACATTCAATGTGTATCTCTCAGGTACATCAGTCATGCAGGTGACAGCGACAGATGCCGATGACAGTATGTATGGGAGCAGTGCCAAACTGGTCTACAGCATCAGCCAGGGACACCCGTACTTTTCTGTGGACCCAAACACAGGTATGTTTGACAGAATCTTCCTTTAAATCATTCCCTGTGTTGTAGGCAATTATCCCTAACAGTACGAACAGTAAGACAATAAAAGGCATTCAGATGCAGCAGCAGCTCAGCCCCACATAATGATGCAGACAGACATTAAAACAACTGATGGATAAAGTCCTATGAATGCAAGAACCTTTTAATTCTTTAGAAAACAAAGTATACAAACACACAGGGACAAACCTGTAGGACATGATTTATGCCTTATTACAAACAAAGAAGACATACTGTGCAGTGCTGTTTGATTAAGGTCTAACCAGTCCACATGAGAATGCATCTTTTTCTTTTTTCCTCCCTCGACATTTGAGTAAATTAGCCCAAATAAAAATATTACCTTATAATGTAAATTATTATTCCAGTTACCTCTGCTGTAGAGAGAACTAGGCCTTTATCGTAAACAGGCTTATTTTGCTTATATTACTGATTTACAGAGATTACCTTGACATATAATGTTCATTTCAATAGCACGAATGCCATCAGTACATGTCATGTCATACTCACCACTCTGTTGCTCTCACTTTCTCTTCTTTAAACTCCCGGCCTTGAAGTTTCATATCAAAAGTCTTCCGGCATTATCCCTTTAATGAAAAATCTGCAGCAATTGTCGGGATTTATTTACAGTAGCTTAATTACATTTTTATTTTATTGAAAAAGTAAAAACATTTATTTATTTGTGACACCTATCAGATGGGACCATGTCATAACATTACACGTTATTTTTTATCAAAGAGTTAGCAGTTGAATGCTAACCTCATGTTAACACTACCTCTGGCTGCTTCAAAGTAAAAGCTTAAAAGTGGTTTGCCAGTGAAACATTTGAATGTGAAGTGGCAGCAGGAAGTTTGCATAAAAGCAGACATATTTTGGGAAATGTCAGTGTTCCTTCAAGCTAGCCTTTGTGCTAAGCAAGGCTAAAACATGACGTAGACCTAGCTCTGTAGCAGAATAGACTAATATCAGCCTTTCCATCTGAACCTGGATAAGACATATTCAAAGTTCCCAAAATGTCAAACTGTTCCTTTAACAGTGCATAACCAAAGCATTGGTTGTTCTGCTAAAAAAATTAAACTAATCTCATTTACCCTTGGATTGCTGACTTTAAATTCATGTTTTCTCTTACTGGGTCATTTTTTGGATTTCACTCATCCATATTTATTTTTATCAGATTTAATTGATTGATTGATGATTGTCTGTGAAGGAAATGTTCCACTAGTGTGTGTGTGTACCAACACCAATTTCATTTGGTTAAGCAGAGTAAGTCTAAAACAGATAACATTACATAAAAACACCGCTCAGCTCAACACTTTCCTGATCATACTTAATTTAGGAGAGGAGATGCCAATTCATTACAATAGAGCATAACTTTTCATTCAGGACACAGCCCAGATGTTACAAAAATTAGACAAAATCTCGCCAAAAGTAATGTCTTACCCACCCAATCAAATAAAAATGAGAAGCAATATGCCTGTTATTATTTGTTAAAAGGCAGTTTTTCCTTGCCCCCATCACCAAGTGCTTGCTCATGGTGGTACTGCTGGGTCTCTGTAAATGTTATAAGG